GACTCTACTAATTCCTGTCATGGTGAATAAATATTTTATAAAAGTTAATTAAGTTTAAAAAATTGACAATAAAAATTAAGCCTTTAAGACTTAATCTCTTTAGTGGTAGAGATTCTGATTATCTCACATGCTGTTATATTCCTACCAGCTAGAACAGGGGTCCTCAAATTTTTTGAACAGGGGGCCAGTTCACTGTCCCTCAGGCCGTTGGAGGGCTGGACTACGGGCCCCAGGACAAGTTGGCTGCTAAGCAGGACAGGCAGCGGCAGCAAAAACACCTAGTGGGCCGGGTAAATGTCCTAGGTGGGCCACATGTGGCCCACAGGCCATAGTTTGAGGATGCCTGAGCTAGAACAATGCTTGGCATATAGAGGCCCTTAAAATTTTTTGATAACTGATTAGCTGACTTACCGGCTATTTAGTGGACATTGTAAACAGAGGTTGGATCAGCAGTTCTGGGTTAGGCCTTGTTTCCACTTTACTATGACCTCACTGTAGCAAGTTGCTGGTTTGCAGGGAGAGAACTATATTTCAGAATTTAGGGTAGTTGGAAGTGTTCCCAGCTGTAATTCTGCTTTGCTTTTCTCTGTAGGCCTTCCTATGTTGAGAATCAGTGAGTGAGCTGTAGTCAGAAGTGATTTTGTCTGTATTCTGCAATAGCAAAAGTAGTGGTGGTTAAATTTTTTTTTCCCACTGTACTTATAGAGAGGAACAGATAATGTCCTTTACATTTTTTTTAACAGTATCAGGGTTTTCTGTTCTCCCCTTAGCTTGATATGATATTCTATAAAAACTCACAGATTGCTTTTAAATGTAAAAGTTCTTCTGTTTTCTCTTGTAGCCGAATGCGTAGTGATGGTTTTGATGAAGAAAGTCAGAGAGACTATTGGAGACCAAAGAATGACATTTCTGGGACATTGGAAGATGATTTTCTTAAGGCTAAATCCTGGAACAAGAAGTTATATGATTATGAAGCTAATATGCCTGACAGGTTTGTGAATAATTCCTATGACCATTAATAATTAGCCTGAGGATGTGTATTGGCCAAAATTAATTGGTTCTTCCTAAATTTGTACACAAATGTTCATAGCAGCATTATTCATAATGGCCAAATAGTGGAAATCCAAATGTCTATCAACTGGTAAGTGGATAAACATAGTGTGGCATATCCATACAATGGGATATTATTTGGCAGTAAAAGGAATGCGATACTGACACCTGGTTCAGCATGGATAAACCTTGAAAACAACATGTTAAGTGAAAGAACTAAGTCATAAAAGACCATATTGTGTGATTCTAATTATGTGGTAAATCCTTACACATTGTACGGTTATGTTTATGTCATACGCAGATCCATACAGACAGAAAGTAAATTAATGGTTGTCATGGGCCAGAGGCACTGCACTTTAAAGGTTGAATATCATGTTATTTGATTTATCCTTCAATAAAGTTGTTACTTAAAAACAATTGTTCCTATATAAACAACATTATATTGTGAAGTGTTTTTGGGAAAAGAGCTTTACAGCTAACAAAGTGTAAGAGTTCTTTAGTGTTTCTTTAGGAAGACAGTGGCAAGTTCCCTTATAAATGGACAAAAGAATCCTGAAATGGTAATGTATAGTTCAGAAAATGTAGCAGTTACTGAGCATAGCTGTACTGTATATCTGTTTTCTTTGTTTTGTGTGTATGTCTAGGTATGCACGTACTCCAAAAGTCTTAATTTTCTTCTAAATTTCCAAAAATGTATACATTGCTTTAATGGTATATGTAATGTGTCCTGTTACAGATGGGGTCACAGTGGTTATAAAGAATTATACCCTGAAGAATTTGAAACAGACAGGTAAGAAAAATTTGCTTACTGAAAGAAATTAAAATTAGTACAAAGTCTGTACCATAAATTGATTCCCTGACTTTTACAAAGGATGTAATATTTGCCATTGAAAATGTAGCTAGAGAAATAAAAGGTGATTTAGTTGGGAGATGACTGCTGTTTGCCATGCTCTGGTTAATGTTTGGTGTATCTATAAGCATTATTGTATTCCGTATCGTAACTCAGTATGGCAACTTAGAGGAATATTTTGTTGTTGAAGGTAGAGTCTCTCTCTTGCTCAGGCTGGAGTGTAGTGATGTCATTATTGCTCAGTGCAGCCTCTAACTCGTGGGCTAAGGTGATCCTTTTGCCTTAGCTTCCCCAGTAGTTGGGACTGTAGGCACACATCACTACACCTGGCTCATTTTTCTATTTTTTGTAGAGATGAAGTCTTTCTGTTACCCAGGCTGGTAGCCTAGAATTTTCATCTTTGTGTTAAGGATGAGGAAACAAAAAGTAATAAAATATGATGATATATGTCATAGTTCTGATTTAAAATGTAGATGTCAGTCCCGGTTTCTTATTTAGAATAATAGACATAAAAATACACTATTTTTCTATATAAAAGTTTCTCTTTTATACTTTTTTTATTAGTAGTGATCAGCACGATATTACCAATGGAAAAAAACCATCTCCCCAGGTAAAATCGTCTACCCACGAATCCCACAAGCACAAGAAGTCAAAGAAATCCCATAAAAAGAAGCAGAAAAAAAAGTCACACAAAAAACAGAAGAAAAGCAAAAAGGAAGCCGTGGATATAACAGCAGATTCTTCAAGTGAGTTCTCAGAAGAAACTGGGGCTTCTAGTACTAAGAAAAGGAAACAACCACATAAACGCAAGAAAAAATCCAGGAAAAAGTCTATCAAAAAACCTGCTTTATTCTTAGAGGCAGAAAGTGACACTTCTCAGTCAGATGATTCGGCCTCCAGCAGTTCTGAGGAAAGTGAAGAAAGAGACACTAAGAAAACCAAAAGGAAAAAGAGAGATAAAGTCCATATCCCTGTGGCCAATAATGAAATACAGAAGAGGACAAACAAACGCACAAATTGGAAAGTGGCTACAGACGAAAGGTCTGCTGAGAGCTCAGAAGATGACTAAATGGGAAAGGAACTCTTGTTTCTTGGGGACTGGTATTTACAGCTCTTACCCATTGGGGTTTTGCCAGGGACTCTTGTTCAACACAGGGGGCCTGAGGTCAGAGCTGTCTTGTGCCATCTAAATATGTTCTGGCAAACTTCTTATCTTCTATTTTGGCCTGTTAAACTTGATCCCCTTTTGTTGTTACTAGGGAATCTGGTATTTTGTTATGAAGGTTTCTTGAAGAGATTATTTTTTTGCAATTAATCACATTTAGTGTAGAGTACATATTCAGCAAATTAAAGGACCCAGAAAGCTGAATCCAATAATGACCTGGATATACCAACTAGAATATTGAATTTGGGGAAGTCAGGGGCTGAGATCAAGAGGTGGATTGGACCCACTGCTGTGTAGAAAGGTATGAAAAGAGAACACTATGTGGCTGTCTTTGTTAAAATAGCAGGTATTACAACTGGCTTGTCTTTAGCCTTGGTGCTTTGATCCTTCTGCATTTTGACCCTACAGGTGTGATCCGGTTTACTTAATGAGAAAATGGGCTTAAGAACAAACCTTTCCCCTTTGTGATATTATCCATTGACAACTGTTATTAGAAGGGACTAGAGTTTTGTCAGATGTCCCTGCTGGACAGGGTCTAGAGTTAGACTTAGTAGCTCCTAAACATGGTATTGGATTTTTTTTTTTTTAGTTCCATTGCTATATATTGCCTAAATGGACTTGTGTTCAAAATTATTTCTTTAGTTGTTATAGATAATCCTCTTGCAAGTGGGGAAGAATTAGGAATTAGTCATGCTGTCAAAATGGTGCTCTGAACAGGATTCAGGGCAACAACTGCCATTTAAGTGTTGTCTTCCTTGTTCATTTATAAATCTGTTAATGAACTTTAGGTTTTCCCTGAAACTAAGTTGAATCATTTCTAAAATGAAACAGGCTTCTCAGGGACGTATCCACTTCTGTGTTTGGATTAAAGCACCAAGCAGAGACCACATTATTTCCCTCTGTGATCTCTACTGTGATTTTAAGAAACCAAAATATAACTGAGAGAAGGCTGGCAGAACATGGGAGAAAAGATCAAGTGACATGTTGTCATTTTTTTCTGATTGTTGCTTCACGGGCTGAGTAAAAGCTTGAAAATTCAAGACTTTTGGTCTTGGTTCTGCCACCAGTAGGTTATGAGGAAGTTCAGAGCAGGTAAGTTAACCTCCCTGGCCTTACTTTCCCCAGATACAATGCAGAGTTACTTCATGGTAGCATGACACTAAGACACCAGCAATAGAACATGACTATGACAACATTCCATGAAGTGGTATTTTATAGTTCTAACTACTAAATTTGTTCTCTTTATGGAACAGATTTCTAATAAAGTGCTTGGTCTTACATGGTTGGCCAGAGGTGCCCTATCCCTTGACTCCAAGCAGGTGCTCTCATTGGGATATTTGAAATATTAATACTTTGGTACTCAATTGTCAGTGGTGCATATTTTTTATCTTTGGGATTGGTAGGGTCTTAAAGGAGGAAAAACAATTTATAATCACTACCTCTTAACCTAAAATTTGTTCCCAGAGCAAGTGAAATCTTTGTTGGAAGGAGTCTTTAACATGTATTTTTTAGCATTGTTTCTGTGCTCTAAAAGTACAGACTCCAAGCAGACTCAGGAAAACAGGCCAGAGGAACAAGGCATTTCCAGGAAGTTGGTTCTGTTTGGGTCTTGACCTTCCCCTCCTCCCATACTAGCAGGTTTATTGCTTTCCCAAGGAATATACATCTTGCCTATTTTTTTTTTCTTTGACCAAGTTTATCTTGGTCATGTATAAGCAATAAAAATGTTTTCTGTTCTTCACCTTTCTCAACCCCAAATTCTCTTCCTATACCTTAGGCCTTGATGGTTCTTCCAACTCTCCCTTAACTATGGCTTAGTGTGCTCTTCAGAACCCGCCATCTCCCGTTTGCACTGGGTAAGGAACGTACTTATTTCTAGTGTTCCTGCCTACTGGAGAGCTCTGTATTAAATCCTAAGATGCAATAAAAAAAGAGTTGGAGAATTCACATTTATTCAATAACTGATGTGATACAACCTGGAATTTCTGAATTCCAAATAAATAAATTTCACTTTTTGAACATTTGAGCTGTTACTTTTTAGCACCAGTAGACATGACAGTGGGTTGACAACCTTCCCCTGCTAGCCCTTCAATCTGCTGTAATGACAAGTCCTTTGCTTCTCTTGTCATTCTCCCAGGGGACGGCCTACTGTGCTCCTTTCTGTACAATTTGGGCAAACCGACTGGTGATGGCAAGAGTGGTGTCAATGAAACGGTCCACACAGCTAGAGAGACAATTTTCAGTGCGGGAGTCTAGGCGATTTCCTGGCTTTTCTACACATTTATCCCAACATAGCTCCATGAAGTGATGCACCTAAGAGGAAAGAAAAATAGAAATCACTGGAGTCTGTAGACCTAACTGTCCCTTTTCTTACTCCTTACTACAGAGTCACTTTGGGCAGACAGAACTAAAGCTGTCCATTTTCTTTCCTTTTTTTTTTTGAGACAAGTCTTAAGTTGCCCTCAGTAGAGTGCAGTGGTGTACAGCTCACAGCAAACTCAAACTGTTGGGCTTAGGAGATTCTCTTGCCTCCCAAGTAGCTGGGACTACAAGCCCTGGCCAAAACGCCTGGCTATTTGTTCATTTTTTTACTCCGTATGGTCATCACCTGACAAAATCATTCTTTCAGTCAACAAACTAGAGCCACTTTGGGTGCTCTTCTTTTTTCACTTCCTAATTTGTCACCAATACTGGCCCAGATCCTCATCCCTACAGTTTGTAAATTCTCAGGTAGGACTAATCTTTAACCCAAAGCAGTCAAGACCAGTGTAAGTAGGAAGATAGGACCCAAGCCACTCCTCCAAACAACTGCATTCATTGCATTCCCATCTTACTCCAAGAGAAAGTAGCTCTTAGCCTTTTGGGGATCATGGGCACATTTGAGAATCTGATAAAGGATATCAAACATTACCAGAGTTATGGAACATGCATGCACTTGGCGTGTTCAGGACCCAAAGATTTCTTTGTCTCAGCATCTCTGCTGCCCTGGCATTACTATAGCTCACTGCAATCTCAAACTCTTGGGCTCAAGGGATCCTCCTGCATGAACCTCCTGGATATCTGGGACTACAGGCCTAGGAAACAATGCCAGCTAGTTTTTTCTATTTTTAGTAGAGACAGGGTCTCTGCTCCAGCTCAAGCTAGTTGACTCCTGAGCTCGGGTGATCCACCAGCTTCAGCGTCCCAGACTGCTAGGATTACGGGCGTGAGCCGCAGTGCTAGCCCAAGGACCCAAAGATTTCTAACCAGGGTTTCCTGCCCCCTACGTGGGAGAAAATAACCATTTTACTGAGAGCTTACACTTTGGGAGGCTGGGTGCTAAACAGTATTTTTCAAAATCCTATAAGACAGCTATCACTACCATCTTTTAAGAGGCGTGATTAAGTAATCAGAGCAAGATCATGGAGCCACGTCATGTTTGAACAATTCTAAGGGGCTCCAAACTCTATTCTAAACCAACGTCTACGCTGAGTACTAAAGAAAGCCCCCCCGAATCTAATGTTCTAGTGCTCCATCATTTTCAAATACATTGTCGCGTATGACTTTTGAACAACCCAGTGAGGCAGTGGGCGACAGCGAAACCAAAGCCTAGAGTGCAGAGATGGCCTGTCTAGGAGCACGTGGCCTGCCAGGGGGAAGGGAAGATTAGAACCCGCATCTTCCAAATGCCAGGCCATACAGGTCGCCGGCTAATGAAGCTCCAGTGCGCCCGAGTCACCCTCATCCTTCTCCCTGCTTTACACCCTTTCTCCACGCTGTGGTTGCTTGGCCGGCACCTAAACACTACCAGTCACCAGCTACAGAAGGGCCGTGACTCGTTTTTGTGAGGTGAACGGGGAGCAGCCAGGATCGAGCAGCGGGCGGCCTCACAGAGCTGCCAGGGTAGAGCCTCGCGGGTGGCCCGGGACCTGTACTTCCTCCTCCTTCCCCTTCACCCTCCAGCGATGGTCCCGGTCCCAGCACCTGTGCAGTGAATTGTGCCTTCTGCTGTTCCGCTGCCACCAAGCGCTGCAGCTCCGCTTCATCCGCCTCGCCCAGCTCCGCCATTGTCAGCGCTCTCAACGCGTGTGTCTGCGCAGGCGCGGCGCAGGCGCCCCGCCCCCCGACTTCCGGCGCTCGTAGCGTTTCCCTCCCCCTTGTTTTCTTTTGTTGTCGGTTGGTGGGAGTTGTTGCAAAAATACTTCCGGGTTGCTGGATGACCTTGAGCCCTCCGAAGCGATATGGCGGCTCTTTGCAGGCTGAGTGTCCTCTGCGGTGCCCAAGGAGGCCGAGGTGAGCGGTCTCGGCAGCCTGAGGTGCTTAGCGCAGCCTCCAGCCGGGGAAGGGAAGGAGGCTGAGGCTCGTCTGCCGGGTGGGGAGACCTCGTGAGGAGAAGGGACTCCTCGGGCATCTTCCGAAAGCCCCGCGGTGAACACCGCTAGGAGCGAAAACGTTTCCTCGAGCGCGATCTTCCTTGCTGTGGGCCGACGTGGTGGTGGGATAATGGAAAGAGAGTTGGCTCTGGAAGTTGTAGTCTTGCCGAGACTATTGCATATAGGAATTCTCTTTTCTCCTAATTCATCGTCCTTAAAGTGCTCTCACCCTAAATCGGGAAGAAGGGTTAGAATCTGAGTCTCAAGGCTTGGTCTTGCCCATTTCCACTGGAGTTGGTGTTTGAGTGTGAAAGTGAAGGGGGTATCAGTTCGCAAATCATTTAACTGCACGTGTGTGTTACAGCAGGAACGGCAGTAAGGCTGGGATCCAAATGTGAATAAAACGCTGTGCAGGAGCTTTCATTCCTATAAGGAAAAACGTGCAAGCTAATTTAACATAAAGCAAAAACTGTTGTACTGTACATAAGTTGTTGTGCAGGTACAGCGAAAGAGTATTTTTAACTGTGTTTTGGAAACATTACTTTGTCTTGGTTCCTGAAGGAGGTGCGCCTGATTTAAGTCTGAAGGCCAAGGAAAGAAAGGCCTTACAATTAGAACTACTGAATGATTAAAAGCAATAATGAAGACATAGAAACTGCGTCATTCGTGGGAAAACAAAACAGATTAGCTGTGATTATAACGTGTAGATGAAGGTGCGAGTGAAATGAGTGGAAAGGTGAACTTGTATCAAATCACAGAATCTTGCCTTTTAAGGAGTACGTACTTTATTGTAGAGGGTAGCCATTGAAGGGTTTGACATAGATTTGTAGGTTATTTATTTATATTTTTTTGAGACAGAGTTTCAGTATGTTGCCCTTGGTAGAGTGCTGTGGCGTCACAGCTCATGGCAACCTTAAACTCTCAGGCTTAAGTGATTCTTTTGCCTCAGCCTCCAAAGTAGCTGGGTCTCCAGGCACCTGCCACAATACCTGGCTATTTTTTTTTTGTTGTTGTTGTAGTTGTTTAGCAGGCTCAGGCTGGTTTTGAACCCGGCAGCCCTGGTGTATGTTTCCGGTGCCCTAACCACTGAGCTACAGATGCCTAGCCAGATAGGCAATTTTTAGACTGACCACTTTGATGGCAGTGTGGTAGATGGCCATGTTAGGAGATGGGGACAAGCCATGCCATGACACAAGTCAAGGAGACAAGACAGGACACTATTGTAGTAATTCAGGCAAGGTGAGGTTTTGAACTTGAAAAGTAATACTACAAAGAAAGAAAGATTTTTTTCAAGAAATGTTAAAGAGACATGTCAATAGGATATGAAAATTGACTTTAGGGGGATAGTCCTTCATGACTTCTTTACAGAGTTAGGTTAAAGAATGCATGGAGTGTCATTAAACTGGGAAACAAGTTTGGATCAGAAGGAGCATTGAAGGATGATTTCCATTTGTGGCATAGTGAGTGGAGAGGCCTCATAGGCAGTTAGATTTCTAAAGTTGTGAAGAGATAGTAAAGGTGGAGATTTGTGTGTCCTTGGGGTTAAGAGCGAAGAAATGGCCTAAGGTGAGGACTCTCCACACTCCTGGGATAATTAGCGTTTAAGAATGAATGCAGAAGTCCAGTGGTGGCTCACCTCTGTAATCATAGCACTCTGGGAGGTTGAGGTGGGTGGATTTCTTGAGCTCTGGAGTTCAAGACCAGCCTGAGCATGAGCAAGACCCCCATCTCTACTGAAAATAGAAAAAAAGTAGCCAGGTATTGTGGCAGGCCCCTGTAGTCCCAGCTACTGGAGAGGCTGAGGCAAGAGAATTGCTTGAGCCCAACAGTTTGAGGTTGCTGTGAGCTATGACACCATGGCACCTACTGAGGGCAACAGAGTGAGAGCCTGTCTGAAAAAAATGAAAAGTGAATCTCTTTTACATAAGTGATTTATTGATCTTTCGGTGTTTTGATGGCTATTTAGTCTGACATCACATTTGAATGAAATGTTACCTGTCTTTAGAGTTAGTAGCTTCCTTATGGTCAACAAGTCTGTTATTCTGTTAAAGGAGAGGTGGTTTTGATCCCCTATTCTGTTTCCTCAGTTCTGTTCCTCCGAACCTCAGTGGTCAGACCTGCTTATGTCTCAGCATTTCTCCAGGACCGACCTGCCCCAGGATGGTGTGGAGTGCAGCACATACACCTGTCACCGAGCCACCACTGTACGTTCTCTCCAGCACTGCTGCTTTCTGGGCTCTGGCCGTCTTCACCTAGACTAACTGTCATGGCTTTAGTAGAACTTTCTATCTGTGGGGAGGAGTCTTTGTGTCCAGCTATGTCATATGAAGACCTAGTTTGCACCTTTGGGCAGACAGTATTAGCATGGTTGAATGATGCCATTTATGTTCACTGAGGACCTTCTAGCCTAAGTTTTAGAAAATACTTACATTTCTTAATAAGAAAAGCTCTGTGGGAAGAGTCTGCTCAATATAGTTCAGTCATTCTTATTTTATTTGGCCAATAGAGAAGAGCAAGATATGGATAATTGAAAATAATGCTTATTTTTTTAGGTTGACTTTAAACCGTAAGACACTTCCTAGATAAATGCTTTTTAAATATCACTAACGTTAGTCTTTTGGGTACAGTGCACACTATCTGGGTGAAGGGTACAGTTAGTGTATAATCTTGACTCACTCTGTACAAAAACAAAGTATGTAAACAAAACACAGGTACCCCTAACAATTCTGAAATTAAAAAAAAATTATAAAAACAACAAAACTATAATCAAGTGAAAAAATGTTAAAATTAGTCTTAGAAAATCTATTGATGAATAATGTTAATTGCATTTCCATTTAAAAGCCTGTAGAGATCAGTACATTATAGAGAAAGATTTCATTCTTAAACACTTACAGTTGCATTTGAGTTATGGGATTAGGCAAGTATAATTTTTCTGATTTTTAGAATTTCTTATCTTTGAAAAGATTTTGTTTCTAGATTCCTATGCTTAGCTCAATTAAATTTAGCACGGTGGTTTTAACTTTGTAGTTCATGGAGCTGAAGAAAGTTGTATACATAGATTTTTATGTATGTCCCCAGGTGCCTTTTTTCTGGGAAGAAGCTACATCCTTTTATCAGATTTCCAAAGGGGTCTGTAACCAAAAGAAGATAAAGCCTCTCAAATAAATGTTTAAAGCTTTATATTGCTTTTCACTTGTTTAAAAGAAGTTTTCATGTCCGTAACTGTTGGGGGCTATTTGTAAATAATGTGGCCAGAAGGGCCATGATCCTAAAAGTTGATATCAGAACTAAAGTCAATATGTCTCCTAATCAATATGTAGGTGTTGAGATTCCATGTGCTAAAAGACTTCAAAGAAGGGAGAGAGTATATCTCTCCATTACTACTTTTTTTTTTTTTTGAGATAGGATCTTGCTATGTTGTCCATGCTGGCTTAATGTCCTGTTTTTACCTCTTACTCTCTTTATACTCAGAGTTAAATCTTATTTGTCAGTTGGGATTACTCTTTGGCCAATGTTGAACACGGGAGATAAGTGTTTCCCTACCTTATGAATCTGGTCCTTTTTGTAGCTGCTTCCAAGGCTGCATCTCTCCACTGGACTAGTGAGAGGGTTGTCAGTGTTTTGCTCCTGGGCCTCCTTCCAGCTGCTTATTTGAATCCTTGTTCTGCGATGGACTACTCCCTGGCTGCAGCCCTTACTCTCCACAGTCACTGGCAAGTATAGCAGTTCCTTCTGTGTTATGTTGTTTGCTCAGTTTGTTTGCTGTGAGCTTGTCTCATGTATTGCATATGAAGGAGAAGTTGATTGAGATGTTTAAGATCTGCAGAAAACTTTATATATAAAATATTTATAGGCCTAGATTTATATAACCATCTGCCTATTTGATGTCTTCATTTCCATATCTAATAGCATTTTGAATGTAGCATGTTACAAAACTGAATTTCTGATCTCCCCCAAATCTGTTCCTCTTGCACTGTTGCCCATCTGAATTAATGGTATTTCCTGTCTTCTATTCAAACCTCGAACTGTCATTATCCTTGACTCCACTAATAGTCTCCTAACTGGTCGCCTTTGTGTCTGTTCCTGACATAGCAGACCCAGTGATCCTCCTAAAATAATTAAGTCAGAACAAGATATTTCCCTTCTGCAAACCCTTCTTTGTCTCCTCATGTTACTCAGTCTAAAGGTCAGAATTCTTACCATGGTCTGCAGACTGTGTGGACCTGACTCCCTGTTTATTTCCTCATCTTCAGCTGTCTCTCCCTCATACATACTGACTTCCTTGAGATTTCTTGAACATGCCAGGGACAGCCCAGACCTCAGGGCTTTACTGTTACTGTCTTTTTTTAGTTATATATTTCGCATATTCCTTCATCTTCTTGAGATCTTAAATACTCAATGGAGCCTTCCCTAATCACGCACTCAGAATTGCAGTGTCTGTCTTGACATTCCTCATCACTGTCTCCTGCTTTATTTTTCTCAGTAGTGTTTACTACCTTCTGATACATCATCTTTATTGTATTAAGATGATGTATTATTATTTTGTATACTACTTTTCATTCCCTCTCCCCCAAGAATGAAAGAACAAATACAGAGTCAAATCTATGGCTTAATGAATTACTGTGATGGTAATATGACCACCACCTCCAGGAACCATTAGAACTTTTAGAGTAATCACTTCCTTATATTTTGTCATAGTTTTATCACT